GCAGTGGATGGGCAGGTGCTGCTGTCACGTTGGCTGTACTACATGGGGCGCTGCTGGAGCCATGGTGGCTTTTTCCCTGTGCCACGAGTTGGGGGATGGAATAGGGAAAGGGGTGGAAGTCTGGGACATTTCTGAGGTGGCTCCACTCCTCACGTGCAGTTTACAGCCTAATCCGCTGTCTCCATCCCTGCTGTAGCCAAGTGTGCCCTTGGTGATGCTCCCCAGCCAGGCTGTGCCATCCTGTAGGGTGTGAGGTGAGATGGGTTGGGAATGATCAGTACTTCTCGGTCCCTGCATCTACATCCATCCCAGGTGACCGTCCTTGCTTTGCATGTGCTGAATTGTAGACCTTGTGAGCAGTACCATTTACTTCCCAAGCCATATGAGTTCTGCTTAGAATGATGTATTATTTATTTAGGTTTATAACAAACACGCAGAAAAAGAATAAATGAATAATGCATGGATGAATAGCTTATACATTTCATCTCAACTGACAAAGATGGCAGACAGCAACCCTCATTTAAAGTTTCTTAAGACAATTGCACTTCTTCCTTCCCCCCCCCCAAAAGCCCCTAACAGCAATGCAAGTTCTGCTGTTTATTACCCAGCATTGTGCTTAGAGGCCATCAGGACCCGCAATTAATTTGTGCTTAAGAGCTTAGTGGCAGACTGGCCATAGAGAATATATTCATTTGAATGATTGCTTCTCAGGTAAGGTGTTTTCCTTAGCTGTGCTTTTCAGTTTGTTTTGGTCTAAGTTACAGCTGATTAACCCAAATTGTTTCTCCCGCTTATGAGACTTCCAGTCCACAGCTCACAAACCAGCATTGCCAGGTGTGCAGCTATTAGAGGATCCTTCATAAAGGGGAAGTGGTGCACATCAATAATAAATAAAATATGTTCTCATACATAACGTTAGCTACTATCTTATTCTTGAAGTTGAAAAGCCTGAGACTTAGGTGAAATAAATAAGGAAAATGCATGTCTTTGAATACTGAAATACAGTGACACCTGGAAGTGCTTGAAACATTTGAGCGCCTTTGTGGCAGTTCAGCCAACTGTATCCATAAATATTTAAAGCAGTGAATTATTTCTTGAAATTTACATTTTTATGTACTATTTCGGCTTACGAATTATTGAACAATAAAGATGCTTTCCATAACAATTTCAGCTTTCAAAATACAGCACTTGACTGTAAAAAGATTTGCCTCTGGCCATCATATGACACACTGAATTCCCAGCATAACACCAAGCTTCAATATCTCCTAACTCCAAATTAAGGCTTTTAATGGCATGAAGTACCTTACATCCAATCTGTATTGCTGCACTTTTTGAGTAAAAAATAAATAACAGTTGTGTGGCAGTTACTGTTATCTTCCAGGAGAATACAAGCTTCCATGTGACTGGTTAGAGTTCATGTTTTTAGTACAGGATTAATGTGAAGAAAGTGGCCTTTTAAATCTTGCTGTAGTTATTTTAGAGGGTTGGTCCATTGAAAATGTACAAGTTTGATTTCAGTCTGTGATAAGGTCACCACCCATAGGTAACAACAGCCAGGAGCTACATCCATATTCTGCTTTCTGCTGATGCCTCGTGCCTGTCAGCATGAGTGAAAATATAAAGTAATGAATTACTGTCTCATGTTTACTCATGCTTTTATGAGAGAGTAATTTGTGCCACTGAGTTTGCTCTGTAGGGCTGCACCTGCAGCGTGCAGAGTCAATGGCATGGAAACATCCAAGCAGCCAAGTGATGGTGAGTCACCAAAAGGTCTCAGTGTTGCTCCATGACCTGGAGAGGAGCTTTTGCATTCCTGGAGCTGCCACAGACATGGTGGAAGTGAAATATTCTTTTAATCCAGCGAGAACTAGCACTGTGATTTTTTATTGAATTTGAAGTATGATTCCCATTGACAGCTATTAAGAAAGCTGAAATTCTTGTAAAATCACCCACAGATAATTTGAGTAAACGGGAAACATTACGATTTTTGAAAAAATTTTAATATATTCTGAAGCGAGCAGGAAAGTAATATTATAGAAAACTGTATAAAACACTGACAGGCTGCGTGTATCAGTGTTATAGATAATGATCACCAAATAATGACTCAGGCTCTGTGTCAGGTTGCTTGCCTTTATAATCTGATTAAATCTGCTTTTCATTTTTAGAATATATTATTTTTCAGATAAACTGAGAACTGAAAATCCCCCAGAAAGAATTTAAATTTACAAAGTCTAGACAGCCAGCTGAAGACTGATTTTCTGCACCTTATAAAGAAACAGACCATAAGCCAACTCTTTATTTATCCTGAATACTCCCATACTTTCCAGCTGTTTGCAGAATACTGCTGTACTTTGATTCAGCTGATAATAAAGCCAAGCATGCACAAATCATTTTTATCAAGCACCAAGTACAAATGCTTCTCTTGTTGAGTAAGCTGAAGTGGACACATCTTTAGCTCCACACTCAACCTGAGTGTTTCCATTGTAGCTAAGGGCTGACTGCACAAGCACCTGAGATTTCAAGGGCTGGTGCTCAAGTAGTGTCAATGGGAAGTGCACAGGGAAGGTTTTCACTGAGGTAATCACAGCATTCCCAGTAGCAGCTGTGTGACACAGTAAATTAATTCTGTTGTATGATGCGCTGAGCTAGTGGGTGTGGTTAAGCCCAGATTCAGTGTTTTTTTAAAGCATTTTCTATTCTTTTGGCTTTCTGTTAGTTTTGCTGGCTGGTAAGAGTTGCAGGCTAAATGGAATCCTGTATTGGTGTGGAGATGGTGTGCAGTTCCAGAATATTTTGAAATTTTGTTCTGATGTCTCCTTTTCCCACAGTATCTAAGAAAAGTGCATTTTATTGATAAAAAGAAAAAAATTAGAAATGCATACATCTTTTATGTAAAAAAGTACATCATCATTTTTGGTAGATAAAGGTTCAGTAACAATATTTGTTGCCTTTTTGTTAGTAACTAAAACAGTTCAAATCTAGTTATAATTTGGGCCGAGCATTTCTTTGCACAACTCTTTATGTTAGAAGTCCCTCTATGCTGTCACAGAGCTGTGTTACAGACAGCTCATAGCAAAGGTCCCTGAAAGGCAGATGTCATGTTATATTGGTACAGACTGTTATTCAGCCTCATACCCTGCTGGGGTTACCAAACAGGAAAACAAACAGTTTGGATTTTCATTCTGTTGTCTGTTTGCATACATTAAAGTAGGTAAGTGACCTAAAAGTTCAAGGAAGTGGTTTGATTTTTGAAGGTCTTTTTCAACTAAAATGTCACTGAGTGCTGCTTATGAGACTTGCTAAACTGAGAGCATTTTTCAGTTTTCTGATGGAATGTTACTACTGTGAGTAATTTTAAAAAAATCTTGAAGGTTGTGATATCCTTGTGAGCTTGTGATATCACAAATTTTCTGATAGTAACTCATTAAATGTATTAACAATTACATATTGCACTGTCTGTAGAGTTAGAATTTTTCTTCCAGTATTTCCTTGAGGAAACTCCAGAATGACTGTTGTTGCTCATCAAGTTCATCCTCCGACTGGAATGACAAAAAACTCAATGTCAAAATAGGAGATTTTGTTGCTCTTGTTCATAGGTGAGGTCTGTCATCCCCTATAGAGATCAAATATTGCCTCCACCACTGTTTCCTGTAGCAAGGATAAACAGCGCAGGGAGGAACATGGCTTGTTTTTCTGGGGCTGTACCAGCTGAGTGGCAGTTCCTGTTGGATAGTCTCAGCTCCTTCTGGCCAGGGGGTTGATCAGGAGAGGAAGGAGTTACTGAGGCAAGCTTTGGTACTGCATCTCTGGCAGTGCTGCACACTCAGACCAGTTCTGGAGAAGCGAGCATCCCCTGGGGGCTGTTGTCACCTCTTGCTTGTGAATGGCTCCTGGCATTTTCCCTCCATTTGGCTTTCCCCAGTCTTGGAATGCCTTCTGTAGCCACGAAAAGATTTTGAGAGGAGGATCAAGGGAAGATTTTCTATCTGTATCAATTGTAAATTCCAAGACTGTGGATACATGCTGAAATAAAGGTACATGAAGGGTTATATTTATAAATCTGGATGACTAGAACTGAGTGTATCATATAAGGATGTCTTTGGGTTTAAATATAAAATATTTATTGGGTTTAATATAAAATCCCCAACTCAGTAATACTAATGTTTAAGGAATTAAACAGTTAGCAGACTTTCAATAACTAACACAATAATTAGCTGCTATGACTTAGTGATCTAATATTTCTTCTGTACATAGTTTTTTTGTGTGAATTCTTCACCTCTACAGATGGAAGTGATCAGGAATTGTTTCTCCATTGCACTGCTCAACCTGCAAGAAAAGAAATAAGGGTCTCAAGAAAAAAACAGAAAATCACCAGCCATGAAGAAAGCAGACAGCACTGCTTCACTTGAAAAAACATTCCATTGTTTTTTGAATTTCTTCTCCTTCTATTGACTCATGGTGTTTGAAGCAGAAAGTCTTTTTATGACTTCAAGGATTTTTCAATCAAGTGAAATTTTATTCCCTAGGTTACAGTGTTGAGCACACCTGAAATATTAGCACTGGACAGTTTTGTGGATTGTGTGCTTTGTAAGAAGGAATACAGATATTTTGCTTGTACAAAATTGCCATAGGGGACAACTTCCTTAGAAAGTGCCTGGAGAACTTGTTCCCTAAGAAATGACATTTGAGAACAACTGAATTATTTTCTCAAATTGTTAATAAAATCATTATTTGATAGGATATCATTTTCAGAAATATTTTTCTGGCATTTAAAGTACTAAGAGGAAAGTCACATTTTACTGATCTCCTACACTGTATATTGTTTTAATTAAAAAGTGTGTTGAAACCAACAAAAACTATAGATTTTTGGCCTAAATAGTAAAAATAGTGATATAAACTGCCCCTAAAAGATTTATAGTTGGTTAATAATAATACTGAACAAAGGATTGGGAAATGAGCAGGCACTCTATAATGAAATGGGCATGTGTGTATTCTTGTAGAACCGCTAGACGAACTGAAGATCAGAAGTCACAGCACTGAACCACTACCAAAGCTGGAAAACAAAGAGAGGGGAGGCCACCACGGGACAGCTTCTTCCAGGGAGCCAGGGAAAGCTCAGGAATGGGATGGAACGCCGGGCCCACCCATGGTCTCCAGCAGGCTGGGGAGATCCTCTGTCAGTCCAACCATGTTGGCTGGAAGCAACAGCTCAGGTATGTCAAACAGCTCAGGGAAGGTCTCATGAATCTCCTTATGAGCTGAGGGATCTCTAGAGAGGTAAGTAAGCGTCTGGATTCTTCAGACTTCCAAACTTCTTGGAATATTCTTCTAGAACATGCCCATTAGCTGCTGCAATAATAAGTATTGCGCTGTCTGCTTGTGCGCTCTACTGGAATAGGATTGGCATGGTGGGCAGAAAATATAAACATATACATTTGCCATTCAACTATTTTAAAAGAATTTTAAAAATACTGTTTGACGTTGAAGAGGGATTCTATGGCAAAAAATCCTTCTCACTCCCCAGATGACAACTCAGAGAGTTCACATACAGTAACAAAACCATACCTTACAGAAACACGGCTGTCTTCTTGATATGCTAAGTGAGTGGACACAGCAGCCTTTTCTTTATGCCTATTCATAAATGCTTGGAAAACTGACAGTGGGTATCAGAAGTCTCAAATTAATATCTATCCATTTTATCAATCATATTTCATATATATAAAACACTGAATTGCTGTAAGCTGTGGAAAATAATGCATCCTGTTCTATAAATTGACTAGGACAAACACAACTGCTGAATGAATGTACATCTAAATAGATATGTATAGCTCTTGGATAAGGACTGCATTGTCACTTTTTGAGATTTGATGGTTCACTCAGAATAATAACTTTATTGCTTATTGCTTGGGCTGTGGAAAATACCCACTTTAAAAACACTTGCCATATGTACTACTGGAACCTTGTGGCTTCAGTAAAAATAAGGCCATGAAGGAGCTAATCAAACAAGAAATTGTTCCTTCAGGAGTGGTCTGCTGGGCTTTCAGTGGCAGACATCAGTCTTTACATTGCTGATAGCAGAGGTACCCAGCCCTCAACCAGGGCATCGCTTCCCTGTGAGATAATAGAACTCACATTTTTCCTTCCTTGCTGGAAATCACACCAGAAACTCAGTAGGTAACTTGAGCACCTTTTACTGATGAGAAGTAGCATTTGCAACAGCTGTGTATTCCAGCTTTTCTTGCTGCAGTATGCCTCCCAAACAGTCCTGCCTGCAGGAGCAAAAATATCTTTTCTTCAAATCTCATGACTCCAGCGCAGGAACATAGTTTTGTTCAGAATTCTTTTCCCAGTGTTTTATAACATCATCAGTGCTGAAACAGGTAAAAGAGTGGGTTTACAGGTACCACATCAAAGTATCAGGACATCTCATAACTAAACTAAAGGTGTGTAGCAGTCTTTTCTGCTGGATGACAGTATGGAGCAGAAAGGAAATGAAAATTAAAGAGTGAGTTCTTAGCAAAACACAGCACTTCTGCTCAGCCTTTCTACATAAGTTTTATTTTAAAGACTTGGTTGATCTCCAAAAGCAGACAAAACATTTTGGCCTCAATCTTGATTTGGCATCTGCAAACTGTAATAGTTGTTGAATCATGCCTTGATTTAGTTTACTGTGACTTTCTCCTCCATAACTAAGACTTTCAAAGACTCATGGTAAGAAATATTATAAAAATATTCATTGGCTGAGTTTTGACTCCTCTTTTATGATGAAAATTTGTGAGCTGATCATGATTTTCCCTTCCCCATAGCTTTTATGACATTTCATTTGGTGAATATTGTCTCTCATCTGCCACGAATATTTTTCCCCTATCTCTATTAGTATCTCTAGCTGTTTCCTGAGCAACATGGTTTACCTTCAATCGGTGGGGCACTACATTCAAAATGCTCTATGCAGTAATCATCAATGAACTTATATGTGAACTATGACAGTTCATTCCTTGCAATTAAATTAGAAGCGTAACAGAATGCAAGAAAAGGGATTCAATACATCTATATGGATATAAATGCTTTCTGGATTCAGCAAAAAAGTTATTCTGTATGTCCTGGTTTTAGCTGTGCTAGGAATTTGAAACTTAGATGTACCACAGGATCAAATAAGATCAGGACGATCCCCAGTATAGTCATCATCATCACTGTTCTCTTTCCAACAGCATAGTTATGAGAAAAAAAAGGTTGTCCTTTAAAGACCACAGTACCACAGTATCCTGCCTACCTCCTGGCTTGCACTGGTCCAGGCACTTGTTAGTAGACACTGTTGAAATAAAGAAAATGAGGTTGAATTGCTCTGTGGTGAAACAGAAATTATATGAAAGAACTTTTCATATGTATTCAATAGGCTGCTCAGCTGAGGAACTGGAGAGAATCTAAGTGAGTACTTTTTTTTTTTTTTTTTGTGGGTTCTCTGTCTGCACCTGCTGGTAAGGTTTGAGGGAAAATAAGCCATCTCCAAACAGGATCTTGAAATTTTGGTCAATCTGTTTGAGTGAGCACGGCCTGTCAAAAGCAGAAGGATATCACTGAACCTAATGGTTAATTGTTCTCTCATCTGCCCCACAATTTGTAAAGGCAAATTTTTTATTTCGTGTCATCCTACTGTTTCTTAGGGAAAGCAGTGTAAGTGCTTTGGGGGCATGCTGCCCTTTAAGAAAGTCATTGCAATTCTAGCAAACAGCCAAATGAGATCTGTGAAACAGAAGGTTGTGATAACTTCACTCCAGGAGCTTTGAAGAGTATTTTCTGGAATGTTGCCTCTTTTTTTTCTAACTGCAACTATGAAGCAGTATTTTGCATTGCCACCTGCTGCTAAAGACACGCACTGCACTGCTTCTTGTATCTCACAGATGCTGTTCAGTTCTACACTGTTTCTGAATCACCATTAGCTTGTCACTCAGCCAACCCATTTTGTATTCAAGCTGAAAACGCTGCAGATAATCATGAAGGGAGTAAATATCTGCTGTTCATTGGAATTACTGGTTAGTATTGTGGTGGATTTGCAGAAGTAATGAATAGTTAAGTTCAAGCTGTTCGGGAATTCAGAGAAGCTTGCAAAGCTCAAGGTGCAAGGTGCAAGTCACATTCGTTGATACAAGAAGGAAGTTGGGGCACAGCATCAGTTCATACTGGATAGGGCTACTTCACTCAAAGAAGACTCAGTACTCCCACCAAACTAATTGTTCTAATAAGGGTTACTAAAGGGTTACTAAATCCTCAAGGATTCTCCAAGCTAAGGCAACTAAAGGTGATGTTAGAGGTGTACGCAATTGGGTAGTCAGCCCAGCCAGTCCAGGCCAGGACACAATGCTTTCAGAGCTTACCTACACTGGTTGTCTGTGTTCAGTCAGCACACAGGCTGTTGCCAGGCAGAGCCTGGAGCAGTACTGGGCACTGAGAGGACCAAGCTACTGTGCCGTGAGCCAGGTGTGTGATCTCTAGTGTGCTGCTCCACGCCATCACAGAACCTGACTGCAGACACACACAATGCTCTCTGCACAGCAACATTACTGCCATGTGGAACAACATAATTGCCAAATTGTCCTTTTGGTCCTGGGCCCTAAGACTGATGGCTACCGGTGCCAGAAACTTCAGAGAAAAACAGAAAGAATTGCTGAAGAAAAGAGCGCTGCCAGTGTTTATTCCTTATTTCATTGCCTTAGCTGTTGACACAGACCTGAAACATGATGGTTCAGAACAAATCCTAACTTAAAACAGACCCCACCTAAAGCAGAGATGTTTTTTCTCATTTTGTTTGGTTTTGAGTACTGCTAAGCTTTTGGCCTCTTGGTACCTGGCGACACTGAGTTGCATGGATGCTTCCTTTGTGCAAACCGCTGAGTTTGACATGCTGCTGTGCTGTTTAGGCACGGAGTGGCTCCCGCAGATGAAGCCCTGAATATTTTCTGTAAGTGAAAGAATAATATATAGTTTATTCCACTTCTAAGGTTTCATAATTTCAAGTTATATTTCAGCTTACTCTTCTTTTTTAGGAGACCAACGCAGCCAGGCCACTATGATGATAACAGGATTTATTTTTCCAATATGCGTGTTTTCTTTTTCTTCTTTTTTTCTTTTTTCTTTTTTCTTTTTTTTTGCATGTGATTACTCTCAGCCTGTCACATCGCCTTGTTTAATTCAAAACGTGCTTCTTGGCAGCTGTAGCAAATAAGCAATATTTCTCTTTTCATGTGCAAAGAAGAGACTGTGACAGGATAAGAAGCTTCTCCAATGTAAGTGACAGCCAGAGTATTTTTTTGAATTAAGATTAGGATAGGCAGAATGAAGTCTTCCTTGGATGAATAAAAGAACTCTTCTTGTTAGATCCAAAAATAAAAATTGTGCAGAGCTGCTGTATTTCTGGAGAATATAGAAAGCAATAACACATTGGTATAAAACTGATGGAAAATATTTCCATAAAATCTTGTCTCTTCTCAGCATTCTGCTTTGTTGAGTGAAATCCAACAACTCTCTCTGCCCCAAATGCAAGCAACCAAGCTTCTGCACGTTTAGCTGAGATGACAGCAGTTTGTTGAGTTTTTTGAAAACAGGTCATTTATGTGAGTTCTTAAAAAATGAAGCAATCATATTTGTGACTAGAAAGCCTCTATTTCTGTTAGGTATTTTCTCCTAAAATGGTCACCCTTAATGTTGTCCTTTGGGGGCTGTCTGCTTGCTTATGTCCACATCATCTTGCTGGCAGTGTCAGGACTCAGCTATAAACCTGAGAGTCCAGTAATGCTGTTCTCAGTGCAGCTGCCCACACTGGTTCATTCCCTACCACTGGGATTGCTGAGAGTCTCATGGCTGCTGTGGGTGACATAGCAGGGGACATGACCAGAGGCTGACACACAGCTGACTGGCCACCCACTACTAGCACTGTGCTACATCAGCGCCTGGCTCCTGGTTCAGGCTCTTTGTGAGCAGAGAGTTTTTCATAAAATGGCATGGTCTGAGGAAATTGTCATTTGAAGGTGTGCAAAATAATACCACAGAAGTTTTTTCAGTGAAATGTAGCAACTGAATCTTACGAACGCTTTTGTGCATAACTTAACTAAATAAAATCTACAGAGCAGATAGGTAGCTAGCCTGAATAATCTGCTGAATTCAGTTTTTGTGCTGCTCACTGATTGTAACAAGCATCTTTAATGGTTGCTGAAATGCACTGCATCCTCTGGCTTGAGTCCAGTAAAGCACTTAAGACATATGCCCATGAGTTCCCTACCTTGGCAGTAGGCTGCTAGCCCTTGTCAGCATTTCAGTGGCTTTACAGCAATGGCAAAAGGCCCCTAGTTGTGGATGCAGACTGGAGTCTCTAGAAATCTTTTGGGCAGTTTTGCTTTAGAACTAGAGGATACATTCTCACAATGAAGTGCAGCACAGACCTGAGGTGCCACATCAGATTTATCAGTGTGGAACCAGAGGTGTTTTAGCTAGGACTGCCATGGAACCTGAGCAAATGGGTCCATCCTGGAGGACAGACATCTACAGAGCCTTCCCCATGTGTTCGTCAGTCTGACTGATAGAACTGTGCCCTGCTCCACACCATGTACTGAAGTCACAGAAGGGACTTCTGTGACAGAAGGGACTTCTGTTGGCAGAATTGTTCCTCCTTCAGTGTTCTCAGCAGGAAATATTAAAACTCATTTTCATTCCTGAAGCAGGATCTATATTGATATGCAGACCTTGCAGACAAGCTGAAGTGGCCATTTAAAACACACAAACCAAGAGCTGAAGATACTGAAAGTGACTAGACAGTGGACAAAATTACTTAAGAAAATCTGTTTTTAGACCGCCTAAAGTAGAAGTTATTTGAAGTGAACATTGCATTCAGCATCCAGTTAACCCCAGTACAATAAACTTGAAAAATAACATGGCTGCAGAATGTAAAATAGTGAGTTGGGCATCACTGCTAGTGATAAACAGTAAGGTTTTTTTTCCACAGCAGTGTGAGCGTGAAGAGGTTACTCAGAGCACTAATTAGAGTAGAATAAAGTATTTGGTCTAAAAATATTCCCAGAGAGACCAGTGGAATGGCTATTACAGAAACCATTTCCCTTTCACTGCATAACCTAACTTCTTGAACTGAAAAAAAATATGCACCTAGATAGAACAGTCTCTGAAACTGCTCTTGATGAGGATCACTATGGAAATTGCAATAGTTTCCTTAATGCTGTAAAATATATTACAGGGAGATAAAGGAAGTAATCCTTCATCTGTGTCTGATAGATTTTGTTTCTTTGATGCCAGATAAAAGGAATCTCTTTGGCAAGAAAACATATATCCAAATGGGAAATTACGACTCTTCTCTCTGCTTTTCAGAATTAAAACAACTCAGAAGCAATGGCAGACAGTGCCTTGGAGTTTTTGACACATTGAATGTCTGATTTTGCTTGTCACAGCAAAAACAGAGCCTCTACTTAGCAATAGGGGAATAATGACCAAAAAAAGCCCTCTTCTCGCTCTCTCTGAAACCCCAGAAAAATTCTGGGAGGGAAGAGAAACCCATTATTATTATTTCTATATTACTGAAAGGAACAGCTATCTGGCACATAGACGGTGTGAAATCTGAACAAAAATACAATCAAGCTCCTGGAATAACCACCTAAGTCCAAAAGAAGCAAAACAACAGATTATGTACAAAATGTAAGGTTATGGGAGAGATCTGTCTGCTCCTTTCTGTGTGCTTACGCCGTGTTGACTCGTGGTATGTTTACAGACTGACTAGGAATGAGTGAATTGAATAATGCATTCGTCAAACAGCATAAATATTTTTGCTGCTCAGCCAGCTGGATGTTAACCAACGTATTAATATTTAGTTGATGAATATTCACCCATACAGATGCTTTCACTGGTTTAAGTGCTTCAGCTTAAGAGGATAGCTCTTCTCCACTCAATTCTCTTCTCTACTCAATTTTGAATTCCTATAAAAATAACCATTTAAGACAAGAATGAAAAAGCATCAGAGAGACTGGAAGGACAAATTTCAGCACACTGCTGGTAATGGCGTGACCTGTCAGCTATCCTGAAGTTTCCAAGATGCACCATGTGACCTTAAAGACATGTTAGTTGTGGACAGCTTTATTCCTTCTCAACACTGGCCCAACCACTGGCTAGTGATGATCCTACAGATCCACACAGGAGAGAAATATTAAGACAAAACACACAGAGACAAAACAACAGTTTAAATGTGGCATGAGAAAATATATTTCAGAGAGACAGAAGCAAAAGATGGTTCTCAAAGGCAAACCTGGATTGCAGAAAGCATAAATCTTTCCTTTCTTCTTGAAAGCATGAGGCTGAATAAGAGGAATTCTTTCAACCCATTGTGAGGAGGCATGGTTTTACAGTTACTTGTTTTTCATGTTAAAGCACTATTGTTTCAGCTAAAAATTGAAAGTCCACAATTGTACAAAGTAGATCTGCTGAGCATGAGTGTCCTTGGTCTCAGTATTACCCACTAAACAGGAAAGACAGGTGCAGAGTTAGAAGGAGGGCTTATAAACATGCGGAGAATGAGCACATTCATCTGAGCCAAAAGCCATGGTTGCGAGGATTTGTCTGCTCAGTATAAACAGGAAGCACAGAGACAACGACTTTCCTCAAGCAGAAACAGGCAGACTCTTTTCTCAGAAAAAAGATGGTTTCTTCTAGACAAGATGTGAGATGCTGACCACTGTTGGGTAGCACACTAGCGTCAGCACAGCTCAGACACAAACCTTCCAGGACTCCTGTGCTGCATGATCAGCTTCATGTCAGTATGTTAACAGAAGTAACCTGCATTGGAGGCCAGTGGGGAGCCCTCTGAGAATTGCCTTCAACAGAAATAAAATGAAATAACCATGTAAATTCTGTTCATTTTTTCTCTGGAATTGAACTTTCTCTTCTAATCGAAGGCTTCTGTAATCACCTCAATTCTGGGGAACTGAGTTCAGAATTTGCCACTGTTGAAATTCTGATTTCTCTCCTTTCTTCTTGCATTGTCTTTCAAGTCACTGCCATCATATTTCCTAGAGCTTTTGGTGTCATTCCAAATCCCAAAGTACAACAGTATCCTCACTGCTTTTATGTACTATTTCCTTAAAAGGAGGGCAACATGGTCTTCTTGATTTGCTTCCAGTCTGTTTGTTGTTTTATAATCTGTACTTCAGTTTCAGAGACAGTAGACTGAAAGGAAAGAACCTGGGACGTTAGGTTCCATCCTAATCTCCCTTCTTCTAAGCCCCGTTTTTCATGATCCAGCAAAGTGCACAATACTAACTGGAATTCAAGGCTGGAGTTTTCATTTCAAGGGAATCCTGGGTGCACCATGCTTCAGTTAATGCAGCAGTAACCAGCTTCCCACTCATTGGTTTTTCTTTTCTTTCCCAGAGCCTAAAGCAAGTTGCAGATTAGGTCGGTCTGCATCCACATCAGGTGTGCCTCCTCCGTCCGTTACTCCGCTCAGGCAAGCCAGTGATCTTCAGCCGAGCCAGGTACCATCGTTAGCCAATCGGGAATGACTTCATGTGCTGCAACATGCCAAATGTTTATCACCTCTGTGTCTGTCATTTGTTACAGTAGATGATTTTTTGTTTTCTTGTCTTTATTTTCTGTGCGTGTGCGTGCATTTGTGTGTGCGCATCTCTCATTGGCAATGAAATTCCACTGGGTACGGCCAGTAGAATTTTCTTTGCCCTTAATTCTTTGTATCCTTTCCTGTCTTCATTCTGTAATATGAATGTAGTAAAACTGTACTGTATGAATTTGCTGGATTTTTTTATTTTTTCATGTTTTCTGTACTTTTTTACTGTCTTTAAAATTTATCAAGCTTTGATAAATTTGATCTATGTTTAAGTGTAAATTTCTTTTAAATGTCTTGTCTAAAGCACTTGCACCAACGTTTGTCAATGACTTGTACATACCTTTGACTTCTCCCAGTTGTACTATAATATTTGTGCCAGTCTTACATTTGTTTTGAGCTCAGTGCATGATTGTATTACACTGTGATTTATCACTGTCCTGAAAACTGCTCCTACAGCAAGATGTTTTGTTTAGTTAAGGCAGCTAGACTCTGTTCAGCTAGAGGCCATGTAATATTAACAGGACTATTAAATAGTCTGCTATACTTATGTTTATTGTATATTGTTAGGAACCAAAAACTGAACCAGAGGGGTAAATGATCCTTATATCTTATACAGATACACTTTTTTCTCCCCATCAAAACCAATGATGCTACACAGACCCTTGAAAAAGAAACTGAAGTGTTTGGCAAATTTATCCAATAGAGAGAAAACAGAAAAGAATTACAGACATGAGAAACCTATACTTACCTTTATTTTATATGCTAATGCTGATACTGTATCACTTCACTGCACAGACCTGTATTATTAGTTTGACAGAAGTAACTGCTGAGAGTAGTAATTGAGAGAAAAGGTTTCACTTAAACATAATGTGAGCACCTTCTGTCAAGCTCAGAGTATCGTGTCACTTGTGGGTACATGTATGGGACTGCTCATCACTGTATATGAGTGTGGGTATGCACATGTACAGACATAAACATACATGTATATATGTGCACATACATATATGTATGCTAACACACACAAGCACTCTTATTTAGATGGTGAATATTTGATTGGCTTTTGGGGAATTAGTCGCCATAATCCTACTGAACTTCAATGAGATTTCAGTGGTAAACTCCCTTGAGACTACTTTGCAGTTATTCCCTATGTAAGTTTATTGTTGCTCCTTAGCAAGAAGCTCCTGGCCAAAGCAAGAAACAGAAGAGTAAGGTCAATTTACTCAACCCAGTGCACAAAGTAGTTGTTAGGAAACTTATATTCGCATAGCCTAATCCATATTGGTTGATATTATTTGTCTGGCAAAACTATTGGTTTAGCATTCTGCTGGACACAATGCACTGCACGTTCCTGAAACATATTTTACATAAAACCAAATCCATAACAGAGATTCAAAATGATAACCCATTTAAATACTAAGCATTTTTTTTTTTTAATCTAAGGAAGAAATTAAGGTAATTGTACTTCCAAAGGTTTTGAGTATCCCAGTGTTCAAGTAGTGTATATTTTTTCATAAAACAGATCTCACAGCAGACATGATGATTTGCTGGTTACTCAGTGCAAAGGCACCTTGGGTGTTTTGAAGGCATTTTAGTCTCTCAATTTATATTAAGAGCTAAACAATAAGCCTTGAAAGCAGAAGCTGATGTGATAGAAGAGATAATGAGCCTCTTAGAAGCTGCAGCCAGGGTTCACTGAAACTGTGGAGGAAAATTCCACCTCACTTCATACAGAAGAAAAGAATAAAGATGATAAGAGGAATTTTCAAGTGACTGTAGAGGGTGTTCTTGTTAATTGAACAATGTGTGTATGGTATGGGCATGTCTTCATGAAAAACCACAGATCTGGTAAAAACTGTCTCTGCCCTTAAGACTTCCCCTCCAGTTGTCAACTGCTTACTATTAATCTATTAAGTTGCCATTTATTATGAATGCATAATTTTGTAAAGGTCTGGTTTGACCCGGATTCTGGGGAAAGACAGAAGTCTCATTATCTCTTTGGCATATACAAACATTGTTTCAATTGTTTTCTTTATACACCCACTCTATCTTAATGTGCAATTAATCTAAGATGGGTGAAATGTGTTTGGAAATGCCCGAGTCGTTAGCCCATTGAGTCTGACAGATTGTGGCATACAGAGTATTTGTTTTCATGTGCTGTGGCCATTGATTGTATTGACACTGGTTTCCTTACCTACATCATAATCAGTAGTTAGTCTTTCTGAAAGAAGAGGATGCTCTCTGTTATTCACCTCTGTGCTGAGTTGGACACAGGGATACAAGATTGAGGAGTGCATCTGGGAAAGGGCAGCTTACTGGATTGATTGTTTTTTTCAAATTTTCAAGGATCCCAAACTAATGTTTTTTCCAAAACATTTACTTTATTTGAGCTTTTATATAATTTGTGTAAGTAGTGAGAATGCTTGGTAATTCAAGACAGGTCTAAATTGAGAAAAACTAAATTTTAATTCCAGTCAAGTACTGGCTAATTGTGTAACTGTTGACATTTAACTCCTCTATGCCTTAAATTCATGTTTGTTTATTGGTGTAGGAATTGTGAGGATTAACTAGCTAATATTTATGGAACATATTTATGGCATGTGGATGGTAAGTGTTACATTACTTATAAATAAAAAGGAAGAACTTATAAGCAGAGATAAGTTATTTGGCTGTTCTCTATCGGAGAACATTTAGAAATCTGTAGTGCAGCAGTCACCAGCAGTGACAGACAAGCAGAGGCAGACAGGAAGCATGCTGTTCTATATTATGTCTGGTAAATGGCAAGGGTGTTTTGAAAGATGGCTGCTGGAAGTAACCATGGATTAAGTAAAAAAATTTACTCAATTTAAACTGAAGGATAAAAAAAAGTTTATCTTGGAACTGAAGTTAATTGTGTAGGAACAAAGTGTAAGAAATTAAGGAAGTAGAAAAGGAAGACAACTGGAGAGTGTAAAACTGAAATATGGCAGTAGCATAGAATATTTTTTTAGCTACAGAAGTGACAAATAGTTATATATGCTAAATACGTATCTTGATATAAATATGTATCCTGAAGAGGGGAATGTAAGTAGTGGAGAAGTGTTCTACATATCACAGAATTTGAAAGAGAGATACAGGGAATAGGAAAATGTTCTAGAAAGTAAAGAAAGTTACATCTTGATCTTAGATATCAAGAAGTGTGTGGATAAAACTAGAAACAGTGAAAGTCCACTTGAGTTTGGCCTTTATACTGATGTACAAACAAGTACAAGTCTTTTGTTTCTACCCAAGGAGACAGAGGACAGTAGAAGTTAAACATTAATTGAGGTTTCTAAGGTAGAAATTATATACAGTCTCAGGATGCCTTAGTAAATAAATGATCTCCCTTACTGCTGCAACCTCTGAGCCTCATGCCTAAGACATTTATATCAGGCATGCTGAGGTGTTTCACCCTGCAATGGCAAATGCTCAGGCATGTCAGAGCTCACCAGTAGTGAAAAAAAATAGTTCATGTGTGCAAAGTAAGCAGGATTTGGAGCCATAGATACATCTGCTATGCAGCGATGTTTCGCTGCCCCCTATCATTCTCTGTATCTTCGTCTCAGGGTAAAGAAAGATTACATGATATGGATGGGCTCAAAATTCCCTGTCACTTGCAGAATATATGTGTATCGAGCATGCTCCTTACAAAAGAGGAAAATGTTTCAAGCAATATACACTGTGGAAGTCCCTCTGCTGGACAGCAGAGCATCTCAAATCTATATTCTTAATGCACATAAAACCATCTCTAGGTTACTTGTAGGCTTAATTCCATTTTAAGGAAAAGGAACCAATGTAACTGTCCCTAGACTTCTTTGCTGCAAATGAATTTTGCAAAGTGAAATTTATTTTCATTAAGATGTAGAAAGCAGTTGGAAAGTCATATGTATTAAGCTGCATATGAGCACAACAGTACATGTTATAACAACACATCCTGAAGGAATTATACATATGTTTACGAGATCCGCAACCTGAGAGAAAATACACCCTCTGATAACAAGACTCCTCGTAGTTAGACGGTAGTATTTCAGCTTTTCTGCTGAAGCACAGCCTCTTTTCAGCTGTTTCCACAAAACTGTACTTATCTGCAAACGTGCAGCCTCCCCTCATGCCGCCCCTTCGTTCCCTGCTTTTCAGTGGGAAGGCAGCACTCTAGTTCCTCTCCTGCTGTCTCCCTGTGGCATGCTGTCCCCGCCTGCAGAAGGCTAGCGTGCCTGCAGGGCCTGGTGCCTTCCCGTGGGGAGGCTGGGCACTGATACCTATCTCCAATTTTAGCAAGGAAATAAGATTTAAACTTAAAAGTGATGATGAAAGTTAAATCCAGACACCATCCTGAGATGAGAAGGAATAAAAATACACGGAGAGCTATGCATTAAGGAGTCTTGACTTGTGTTGAAGAAAATGCTAGAAAACATCCAAATCAGCACCGAGCTTTTTGTGGCCTTTCCCTGCTGACTGCGGCTCGGCTCAGCGCTTGCTGGTCTCTGCCTGCAGCAGGTTTCTCCTCCTTAGAGAGACGCACTGCTGCTTTTTTACATTTCTGTGGCTTGTATCTGTCTGTTTATTATTCAGACGGAGGTTACACCGCCGTTACATGACACCTCGGGCCTGGACCCGGATGCGGCCTGCCCGCGGGGCTTCGTTTTCCTCGGCCCCGGCACGCTGCGGCCCAGCGAGGCGCAGTGCGGCCCGGAGCGGCCTAGCAAGGCCCGGGCGCTGCCCGGCACGGCCTGGCGCGGCGCTGGGCGAGCTCGTGGCGCCGCCCCGCGGTGCTGGCGGCGGCGAGGCGCAGCTTGGGGGAACGTTCTTGAGGACGCGTTCCTAGAGCAGTGCTCCGTAGTAAAAATGCAGTATGAGCTCGTTGAAAGAAATTAATAAAACTTAGGAGAAATAATT